GTCTCAAGTTTAAAAATTATCTGACTTATCAGGAGATTTTAATTATCCAAATGAAACAGTGTGCAACACTACTTTTACAACCTCCAGTTAGAATCTTATGTATAAATTGCTATCTTTACAACTTGAAAGACAACTATTATGCAACCATACCTTTTACATGCTACTACTCATTGGCAGACCGACAACTCTACATTCTTAGCATAGAACCAAAGCATGGCACTTGCAACTTCTTTGCAGGGTGGAGGAATCACTGCCTAAACCTTTCAGAAAGATATTCAGACTGAAACTTCTTCCATTACTGCATCCATTTATTTGTGCAATTAAATCCTCATAAACATATTTGATAAATTATGTTCAAAACAGAAGTCTCTTAAATAGTTATAGTAATTACATTAAGCATGTGCCAGCAGCCTCATGCAATGATACTCTGGAATCTCTATTACCTCTTCTATTCATGCTGGGATTTGTTTTACCAAAGGTTTTACCAAAGGAATCAAAGGTTTTTAGAAACCCACATGCATCACTGTCCCACCCACCTCACCTTTCCTTTCCTAGCTCCCTCTATAATTATCACATTCCTAGGATAGATAGTATGGTAAATACTGCAGGATAGTCTATTATACTTGAGTTCTGTGTCAAGTGAAAACTGAGAATGCACAGACATGCTCAGAAGTTTCACATGCATAGTCAAACCTTTAATTTCATCAGTTTATATCAAGTTGATACTTGATATTGTTTTCTTACTTATGAGAGCCAGTATGGTATACTAGTTTGAGTGTTGGATTAGGGCTCAGAGAGAAGTAAGGTTCACTCCCTCACTCAGCCATGGAAATCTATAGGGAGATCTTGGGCAAGTCACACTCTCTCACCCCAAGAGGAAGACAATAGACAACATCCTCCAAATAAATCTTAACAAGAGAATACAATATTAGGGTCATCATGAGTCAGGAGCAACTTGAAGGCACACCAAAATAAAACCACCAAATTATATGTGTACCCTTCTTGTCACGTCACTATATCAACAATAGATATTGTAAGCCCTGTTCTTACTTTGTTGTTGTTTATTCGTTGTTGCTTCTGACTCTTCATGACCTCATGGACCAGCCCACACCAGAGCTCCCTGTCTGCCGTCGCCACCCCCAGTTCCTTCAAAGTCTAGCCAGTCACTTCAAGGATACCATCCATCCATCCATCCATCCATCTTGCCCTTGGTCAGCCCCTCTTCCTTTTTTCTTCCATTTCCCCCAGCATCATTGTCTTCTCCAAACTTTCCTGTCTTCTCATGATGTGGCCAAAGTACTTCATCTTTGCCTCTAATATCCTTCCCTCTAATGAGCAGTCAGGCTATATTTCCTTAAGTATGGACTGGTTGGATCTTCTTGCAGTCCAAGGCACTCTCAGAATTTTCCTTCAACACCACAGTTCAAAAGTGTCTATCTTCCTTCGCTCAGCCTTCCTTATGGTCCAGCTCTTACATCCATAGGTTGCTACTGGGAATATCATTGCTTTAACTATGCAGATCTTCATTGCCAGTGTGATGTCTGTACTTTTCACTATTTTATTGAGTTTGGTCATTGTTTTCCTCCCAAGAAGTAAGCGTCTCCTGATTTCCTGGCTGTAGTCTGCAGTAATCTTTGTGCCTAGAAATCTCTGCACTTTTACTTTATATTCACACTTTCAGACTTGGGAGAGAGAGAAATGTCACCCTGAATGGAGTAGTAACTGGTTCTGCAAGCATACTATTCAGAGCCTAAGAAAAGGTTAAAACTTCCAGCAGGTTATGGTCCAAAAAAGTAATTTTTTCATGCTGTGATTCAAAACAGTAATTGCAGTCTACAGAAGTAATTTTTGTATGATGTGACAGTGTGCATTTTAATTGAAGATTACTTTTGTCCTCTCTCGCCTCCACCTATTACAACTATTAATGGGAGAAAGAACTCTTGTCTGTTTGGGGCAACACAGGGGAATTTGAACAGGAAACAATCAGGGCCAGATAACACCTCCTAACAAAGGATTCCCCCAGGCAGGAAACAGCCAGGCTTTGAAGCTGCCAGGCTATTCAATGCTAATCAAGCTGGGCAATTGCAACATTCACACTGGCCTCCAATAGTCAAAAGTTCTTTCTCCCACCAACAAACCTCACAACCTCTGAGGATGCCTGCCATAGATGTGGACGAAACGTCAGGAGAGAAAGCTTCTGGATCATGGCCATACAGCCCGAAAAACTCATAGCAACCCAAAAACAATTTAATTTTAACACTCATAAAAATAAAGTCTGAGTGTTATAAACTTTGGTCTTCCAGATGTTTTGTACTTCAGCTCCCAGAATTCCTAACTATTGGCTGAACTGGCAGGAATGCCTGGGAACTGAAGTCCAAAGCAGCAAGAAACAGTCTGACAACACAACTCTTCCAAGTTCAGATACTTCTGAATGAGGAATCCTGATTCATCTGCAATTCATCTGCAAAGTCCACTTCTTTCAATGACTGAAATACAGCTATATTTCCCAAATGCGTATTGAAAGATGGGGAAGGAAGTATATACAATCTTTTATAATGGCAAAAGCAAACACCATTCTACAAATATGATGTAAATATATAATGATTTATGTCAAAATATTCTGGTTTATGAGAAGAGCTGACAACCATTAACTAGTGAGCCGTTGCTGCAGTATTTCTACAGTATTTTTTAAAGGCTTCCCTTCTACACAAATATTTGCTTACAAAGCCCACACGATTAGTACATAACGGAAACTTGTTACTGAGAAAGCGCGCACAAGATTGATCTGTAAATCAGCCAATTCAGAATGCCTGTTTTTCTTTTTCTTCTGTAAATGCCTCATAAACGTGCCTGCATTTTCCCTGTATATAAGATCAGAATTGTGATATGCAATATTAAATATTGCTGTTTTGCCTGAGGTAAAGTGTGGAGCTGTGGTGATGCAATGGGTTATATCCTTGTGCTGGCTGAACTGCTGACCTTAAGGTCAGTGGTTTGAATCTGTGAGATGGGGTGAGCTCCCATTTGTCAGCTCCAGCTTCCCATGTGGGGACATGAGAGAAGCCTCCCACAGGATGGTAACACATCCAAGCATTCCCTGGGCAATGTCTCAATGTTTAACATCATGTACACACCCATATGGCAATTCTCTCACACCAAAAGCAACTTGCAATTTCTCAAGTTGCTCCTGGCACACACACACACAAAACCCCAGAGGTAACAAAAGGCACCAGCAACAAAAGGTAATAAGGTTTATCCCAACCCAGACCATTTCTTTTCGATGGTAATAGGGGTTGGAAGATGGAAAAGAACTGCTGTGTGAATTGCGCTCCTTTAAGAAAAAGGAAACCACAGGAATTTCTGGAATTTTGCCAGACTGGAACTATACCCAGCTTCCTTTTGACCTCTGACCTGAACCCTTTTGGAAAGGCTCTCTTGCCATTTTATCTGCCGAAGAAGTCATATGTAATTGGAGCCTGGACAAGTTCCCCAAGGCAGATCTTCTTTCCAATGTTCAAGCAGGAGAAGGAAGCATTTCTGGGATTTTGTTCACAAATAATATCTTTTCCTATATTCTTATGTTGACAGAAATGATGCTGCTTTCATCAGCTACATTTGTGGATTTTGTGATTTCATAATTTGCCTTTCCTTTTTCCTATGGAAAACTGATCCTATGAAAAACCTATGGTGACTAAAACATAAGAACACAGGAATGTGGGTTGTTGTGAGTTTTCTGAGCTGCATGGCCATGTTCCAGAAGCATTCCCTCCTGACATAGAAAAGGCTATTTTTTGAAAAGACAACTCTATAGAATTTTTCAGCCATTATCAAAAAGTGAAAAACTGAGGGAGAAAGTGTTGTTGAAGGCACTCATGGCTGGAAACACTTAAAAAAAGGGGGGGGGATTCCAGATAAGAATCAATTGGAGCCGGCTAACACCTCCCAACAAAGGATTCCCCTGGTCAGGAAGCAGCCAGGCTTTGAAGCTGAAAGGCCATTCAATGCTAATCAAGCTGGCCAATGGCAACATTCACACTTGCCTCCAACAGACAAGTGTGAATGGACATTCTACAGATACATAAACTTCACTTGCCTAGTTTCCAACAGACCTCACAAGCTCGGAGGATGCCTGCCATAGATGTGGGTGAAACATCAGGAGAGAATGCTTCTGGAACATGGCCACATAGCCCAGAAAACTCACAGCAACTCAGAGGGAGAAAGTTAATTTCGGATGAAACACATATTCCAGAACATTACGAAATGTTACATTTTGGACCACCCTTTGCAGCGTCTGGCCTAAGTTAATGTTCTGCGTTGTGCAGAGTATATATTTTATTTGAAAAATGACTTATTCAAAAACTGGCTAACCAATAAAAATGGTTCGTTTGTTGTTCGACTTATTCAAATACCTTTTTTGTGACCTTCTGTTAATAATAGTGATGTATATTTCACACACCTTAACTTACGAGGACCGAACTGAAATATAATACATAACTACATAATAGTTATGTATTCAATTTCGGACGCATGGCACTTTAACTTGGGAGGACTAACTTCGCATTTAAAATGCTGCCTCCTGCATTTTTACACTGAGTTAATAATATTTGCGTTTTGTACATGTTGCAGTTTTTAGTTTAACTTGTTTAAAGAGCCCTGATAGGAGTCTAGTAGTCGATTCCCATGTATTCCCATTTGCTTCGGTCTTATATTTGTCTACCTGGGAGCAAAACCCAAAGAAACATAGTAGAAATAGTGTTGTACTATGATTCTGGAAACCAAAAGTGCAGCTTAAGCGGCTGAGGGGCAAAAGGAAAGGTCCTGAGGCTGTTGGGAATGGTGGGAGTTGAAGTCCAAAACACCTGGAAGGCCCAAGTTTGCCCAGGCCTGTTCTAGACACATTTCTCCAGGGCTTTGTGTAGAAAGAGAGCCAGTGCTGCTTGCATCCCACCCCCACTCTGGCCTTTCTAAATGACCAGAGAAATTGCTCTTCCATTACTTACTTTGCAAAGTTGATTGGAGGGAGGGAAAAAGATGAAAAAGGTAAATAGATGGATGGAGAACGCCTCTGGAATCAGCTCCCTTCTCCCAACTGGGTGCTCAGCTCATGTGAATAGATTCTCTCCTTGGCTGTATCTTTTGGGAGGATAGTCAGCGCTGATTGGCTGAGGCGAGGGCGTGGGGCGGGCAGAGGAGCCAATCGGGAGGCGGTGTGTGTCAGTCCTGCTGCTGCCTCCACAAAGGGCCCCCTCCTGCTGTTGTGTTGTGCAGCAAGGAAATAGAGTTGCAGTTCTTTGGTCTGCACATAAGATTTCAGGTTTCCAGATACATTGCCCTTGGGAGGCTGCAGAGGAGAAATCCAGGGGTTCATCTATACCGGGCAGACTACAGGAAGTTGAACTTAGCATAGATCAGGCATAGGCAAACTTTGGCCCTCCAGGTGTTTGGGACTTCAACTCCCACATTTTCTAACATAGAAATAGTGGGAGTTGAAGTCCCAAATATCTAGAGGGCTGAAGATTACCAATGCTTCATTCTATACTGTAGAATTAAGTTTAACATCATGTACACACCTATGGTTCAATGATATGGAATTGTGGGAGCTGTAGTTTTACAAGGACATTAGCCTTCTCTGCAAAAAGGGGCTGGTGCTTCATCAAACTAAAACTAGAAAAAGTTTGCCCATGCCTGATCTATACTGTGGAAACAAGTTTAACATCATGTGCACGCCCCATGGCTCAATGTCATGGAATTGCGGGAGCTGTAGTTTGACAAGGTCATTAGCCTTCTCTGCAAAAAGGGGCTGATGTCTCATCAAACTAAAACTAGAAAAAGTTTGCCCATGCCAGATCTATACATGTACATGCCCATGGCTCAATGTTGTGGAATTGTGGGAGCTGTAGTTTTACAAGGTCATTAGCCTCCTCTGCAAAAAAGGACTGGTGCTTCATCAAACTAAAACTAGAAAAACTTTGCCCATGCCTGATCTAAGTTTAACATCATGTACACACCCATAGCTCAATGTTATGGAACTGCGAGATCTGTAGTTTTACAAGGTCATTAGCCCACTCTGCAAAAAAGGACTAGTGCTTAATCAAACTAAAACTAGAAAAACTTTGCCCATGCCTGATCTATACTGTGGAAACAAGTTTAACATCATGTGCATGCTCCATGGCTAAATGTCATAGAATTGCGGGAGCTGTAGTTTTCCAAGGTCATTAGCATTCTCTGCAAAAAGGGGCTGGTGCTTCATCAAACTAAAACTAGGAAAAGTTTGCTCGTGCCTGATCTGTACATGTACATGCCCATGGCTCAATGTTATGGAATCACGGGAGCTGTAGTTTTACAAGGTCTTTAGCCTTCTCTGCAAAAAGGGGTTGGTGCTTTACCAAACTAAAACTAGAATTTTTTAGCGTTGAGCATGGAAGTAAAAGTGGTGTCAAACTGCATTAAGGGTGGCTAGAGGGAAAATATAGAAAGATCCCTCATGCCCAACGACTTTGTATTTGTGGGTCCGTGGAAAGAAAGGATTTAATACATTATCTGCTATATTGCCCTTTGTATAATGACCCTAGAAACAATCTTCTGGGAGCCCTTTTGGAAAAAAGGGCAGCATGGCAACAGCACATAGTTATATATGACTTGTTGGCAGATTATTCCAAAACTATAACGTTAAAGGTTGCCACATTTGCAGTCGCAGCCCAAAAAATCTGAGCTAAATTAGTAAAGTCCACAGTGGAGGCTAGAAATGGAAATAGAGATAGTTTGGTATGATACAAACCAGACATCTGTTATTGTTTACCATGTCACTGCTACAATCATTTTAAAGAGCCAGCATATGGAATAAGTTTTAATATTTATATTGAAAAGTGCTCATTGTACTTTTAAAGGTTGTATATTATTTGATGGCATGGCCTATGGCTGGTACAATAAACCATTCATTAAGTCTAGTTGTGTTCGACTGGAGGGTGGTGCTCGTCTCCATTTCTAAGCCTGAAGTTGTCTGTAGACGCCTCCTAGGTCATGTGGCTAGCATGAATGCATGGAGCGCCATTACTTTCCTGCCAAAACGGTACCTATTAATCTACTCACATTTGCAAAAGCTGGGGCGAACCGTGGGAGCTCACCCCACTCCCCGGACTCAAAATGCCAACCTTCTGATCAGCAAGTCCTGCAGCTTAGTGATTTAATCCACTATGCTGAGGGACCCTTAATTCTAGTGTATATGCACCATATTCATATTGGTTAAAGCCATATATACCTGATCAGTCTAAATAAAATATAATACAAAGAATGGTGTTGTGGTTATTTATTTTAATGGCATTCAGTTCAAGTTGTTTTTATTACAAAAAGTAAACATAAAGCTTAGAAGGGGAAATGGGCTAAACAATAGAAAAGGAACAGGGATAGTGATTGTGATGTATTCACATGTTATTGAACTAGAATCCCCAGAATTCCTAGCCATTGGCTGTGGCTGCTGAGAGCTGCAGCTTAACAATACCAAAAAGGGCTACACAACTCCCACTCCTGAAACAAGTTGAATCCAGATGTAATCCATGGTGAGTTAGTGCTAAAATTACTATATCTGGAGCCAACTCCTTGCTTCAGGAGTGAGTTGTGCCGTCCTTCTTTGGGTATTAAGTTGCAACTCTAAACAGGAATGCTGCAAATTGCAGTGGCAAAAGCCAGCATGGTTAGTGTAGTGGTTTGAATGGTCGACCATGACTCTGGAGATCCAATGTTTGAATCACAACTCACCCATAGAAATCCACTGGGGAGGCAAAGGCAAACCCCCTCTGAACAAATCTTGCCAAGAAAACCCCATGAAAGAATTGCCTTAAGATCATCACCAGTTGAAAAATAACTGGATGGTACACAACAAAATCCATCCACTTACCTGAAGAGAGCCAGTATGGTGTAGTCATTAGTTTAGAATTTGGGAGCTCCAGGTTCAAGTCCCTACCGAGTCACTGAACTCCCTGAATGACCTTATGACAGTTTCCTACCTGTGCCTACACGACAGATTTCTAATGAGAAAGTGAAAAACTAGAGTTCTGTGCACCACCTTGAGCTCATTGAAAGAAATGCAAGATGTTCACGTCACTACTGTAATATAGGTTTCTGTGAGTTTTTCAGACCGTTTTCCAGAACTCGTCTGTGTGAGGCAAGTGTGAATGTTGCAGTTGGCCACCTTGATTAGTATTGAATGGCCTTGAAGCTTTAAAGCCTGGCTGTATCCTGACTGGGGGAATCCTTTGTTGGGAGGTGTTAGCAGGCCCCGATTGTTTCCTGTCTGGAATTCCCATTTTTTGAGTGTTGCTCTTTATTTACTGTCCTGATTTTAGAGTTTTTTAAAATACTGGTAGCCAGATTTCATTCATTTTCATTGGTTACCTCCTTTCAGTTGAAATTGTCCAAATGCTTGAGGATGTCAATGGCTTCTCTGTGTAGTCTGACATGGTGGTTGTTAGAGTGGACTAGCATTTCTGTGTTCTCAAATAATATGCTGAGTCCAGATTGGTTCATCAGGTGCTCCACTATGGCTGACTTCTCTGGTTGAATTAGTCTGCAGTGCCTTCCCACAGATATATAAACCTCACTTGTCCTAGTTTCCAATAGACCCCTCAATCTCTGAGGATGCCTGCCATAGATGTGAGCGAAATGTCAGGAACGACTGCTTCTGGAACATGGCCATACAGCCAGGAAAACTCACAGCAATCTTAATTCCGACCATGAAAGCCTCCCACAATACTGTAATATCAACAATAAATTTGAAAAATGTCTAATACTTGAAGAAACTATGCACTTGTTAGTGGAACAGATGCTGACAAACTGGGGACTGCTCTAGGACAAGTGAGTTTTATATTACTGTTTACTTTAATAAAAGGCCTGTAAATCAATCAGTTGAAGGCTAATAAAGTCATAAAATAAACAAAAATGGCCAAAGAAGGTTTGAAGTTAAGTGAACTAGTAATCCTCATGGACCTATTTGCAGAGGTGAAATAAGAGCTTTTCTTGTACCACAGCTAGATTAGTCCCACTTTTAATCCATCAACAATTTTGAGTCAATTTCCATCTTTAAAATTCCTAGATAGCTTGTTATGATGGCACCCACACAACTGTAGTAAGGCATTTATGTCAAAACAAAGTAAAAAAAATATGGGGGCTACCTTGTAAATTTTGATACAGCTGGGAGCAGCAACTACTCAGGAGCACTTAGAGAATAGGCTTTAAATTTTAAGTCAAAAATTGGATTTATTGTAAATGCCACATTCACAGAGCACGGACTTCTTAGTAACATACAGATATATGCGACTAAGCATTTTGACTGAGTAAAGAAATCCTCCTTGCACAGCTTTTTAAGGCTGTGCCTAAGCTAACCTAAATAAGCAGACAGCATAACGGAAGAGGGAAACTTAAACATGTAACTGGTAAAGCATTCTTTAATGTATATAATATTTTAATATTATATACATTAACAGTTTCAGTCATACCTAAATGTAAAAACCTGCTCATCTGTAATACATTGCAATTATTACCTCAGTCATTCAGTCAGGGAAATTAAGATACCTTTTCCATAAGAAATCAGTTACGCAAAAAAAACTGTATCACTACAAATTTTTATTCAGAAGCCCATCTTTTTTTAAAAAATTGTCATTATGAACTTGTTTGGTCAATCAACTACAACACTTTCTAACAGACAAGATAGAAATGGCATGGCTCAGAATCTCCCGGATCTTTCACGATCTCTTGACCGCCTTCTATCGCGCTCTCGGCCACCACCACCACCACCTCCTCCTCCTCCGCCACCACCTCCACGGCCACGATCTCTGGATCTAGAGCGACGCTCCCGGGATCTTGACCTGGATCTATGCCTGTTAGAAAACCAAAACAAATCCACTAAAAATCTGCTTTCTCATACACATTGTGATAAGTCAGTAAACTACAAGGCATAATGCACAAGCACAAAGCATTTAAAAGAACAAGAATTGAAAAAAAATCAGATGTTTGTGTTACCCTTAGTGTGCAATTTATACTGTGGAACAAAGTTGAGAACAACTTTAAATGCCCTGGCTCAATGAATGCTATAGCACCCAGGAAGTTGTAGTTTGGCGAGACAACCAGCACTCTTTGGCAGATAAGGCTCATGACTTTGTAAATATTACTATTTCCATGGTTCCACGCAATTAAGCCATTACAGTTAAAGTGGTGTCAAACCACATTTATCTAAAATGTAGATGTGCTCTTAATTTTAGTCAGTAAATATCACAGCACTTGCTTTGCAGGTAATTCTCACTTTTCCATCCTTTGAATATGACCACAATGATAAAATAGACTCCTTTTGGTTTAAGTTACAGTAGGACAGTGTCATCCTTAATCTGACTATATTTAATAATAAATACCAATATGACTGGACACACTAAACTGATGGGAACTTGGCAAGTCAACATTCAGTTCCACTGATGCCATGTATTTATTTCAGCAGGAACTAACCAGGCACATGATATATACAGTGCAAATCTATGCATTCCTGTGTGTGAGCGTGTGCACGCACTTTCAGGCAGTCTGTCAGCTAAGACGTAAGCTCTGAGTTAGAGAGAACATATTCTCAGGAAAATGAGGATTGCATCATTGGTAAATGTCCTTCTTTAAGATGGTAAAGGTTCTCTATTAGAAGAATCCTCTCTTATCAGCAAGCAGATCCAGGCTTGCCTTTGCCATGTTGGCATCATCAAGTTGCACTCTCCAGCACAACCATCTCAGACCAAGTGCATCATTCACCTCCAGGACTAGCTTTCTATCCAGATCTCATCATTGCTACATTGGGCAGAATTAGCTGTGGTTAGGCCCCATCTTTTACCTAAATAGGTTGTGCATCATCGCCAGGCCTACATAAGACATTATATCCAGGTGCTTTAGTTTCAAATTGTTTAGGAGGTCGTAATGCTCCTTTCAGTCCTATGTCAATGATATGGAGGGTCTATGAAGGAGCTGTAATTATGTTTTTCTGAACGTATTTACAAAAGCCAATACAACTGTCTTATCAGAACACTGCCTTATCTGGGCTCCTCCGCATGGATTATTTTATAACAGGTGAGTGAAGTATGGTCTGTAGGCTGTGTGTTATCTCACAGAGAGTTTTCAAAAAAACATTTTTCAATCACAGCAAAATAATGCGAGAAGTACTTTTGTTTTAAATGGAATGGAAGGATGGGATTAAGAAGATCACAATTTACTTCACAATTTATTTCTTTATATGTTGAAGCATGGAGTATTTATTGCTTACGACTGGGCAAAAAAAAACTATCACAATTAAATAACAACATTTAAATAGCCTGCATGAATATGACACTATGCCCCATTATCATCACAAAGTATAATTCTAAAGAGGCACAACATCAGCAATTAAATAAATACATAGCTATTGCCACAACTCTGAATATCTGAAATACTGAAAAGCTATGTGGCAGAAAAACTCAGCAGAAATTTGTTTATTGCAAATTTCATCAAGAATACTGAAGCGAATGCTTTTTGATTTGCAGCAACCAGCCTTTGGGCAGCTGTTATTACATCCATTATCAACTGAAATGGAAGGTAAAATAATTTAATTGCTAGTTCTATTGTTAATTGGTTTTGAACTTCTTAAGATATGACAAACCAGTGAAATTGATAGCATTTTAGCATCTAGCTCAGTGGTAGGTAAAATGTCAACAAGGCTGTAATAAATCTGAGCCAGTTGCAGCAGATCAGCAGTGCTTTCTGACTCAATGATCAAACACTGTAGGTAATAAGGAAAAAAGATTTCACGTTACAACACTGAGACTGGTAATATGGAAATAAGGGGAGGAAAGGTCAGGAGCAGATTGCTATTAGAAAGGATTTGTATGTTTGTGCTTCTGGTACTGATCAGCTATGGATATGCTCAAAATAAGGCATAAGCTATGGCTTAATTCTGAAGAAGCCTCTGTCCACATAAGTCCCATTTTGCACCTGGCAATGGCTGGGGTATTCAGGGTTTTTAGTAAAGCAAACTATAGCACATCCCACAATTTTGAGGTCTACTCATCCCCAAACTGTGTTACTCCTAGGTTCTCCTTGTCTGGAGAATTACATAGTATTCCCCCCAAAATAACATCCGAACTTTCACAGAACATAGGTACTTACTTCTTACGACGACGGCCATACAGCTCACGTCTCAATTCTCGAGAAATGGGTTTCAAATGCATGAAGTTACAGAAACCTCCTCGTGTGCACTCACTATGGGGAAAGTGGAATTCAGCAGATTATGATTAAGTAAGTATGATGCTTGGTGTCAAAAAAGGTATTATCACATAAAAAGATTTCTAAGTCACCTCAATAAAAAAGGAGCCTAGAAGAAAATTTAATTACCCCATTTCATACTGACGACAACATGCTTCTCTGAAATCTGTCACAGGGGAAAGCTCAGCATGAATTGGCTGTCCGTTAAACCATCGATTGTTTAGGTCAATCACAGCCTTTTCTGCATCTTCTTCACGTCGAAACTGAAAATGTTTTAAAAAATGAAGAATGTATTTAATATAAACAAATAGAGAGTTAAGGAAAGAAAGATTTTACTGTTCTAGGATACTCTTAAAATATATGGTATCACAATTTAATAGCATCAATCCACTGACCATTAAACAAATCTATTATTAAATGTTTTCCTCTTCAAAGAGCTTTATCAAGCCTCATCACATGATTTCTCTAAGATATTGGAAAAATGTGTGCATACATGCAAGCGATTAAGGGTTACACCGACCAGTTTTTACACCATGAAATCAATTTTCTTTTCTAGTGAGAGATAAATGGATTTGGTAATTACACAGGTTTCACTTGGAAAATATAAAAATATGGCAAAAGATGGCCAATTTATGAATTTTAAAAAGGGTTAAGCCCATATCAACACTTGCACCCCAGGAGTTGCTGGCCTTCAGCAGACCTAGTCAATGGTAAGGAATTATGAAAACTATAATCCAAAAATATTTGTAGATAGCCAAGGCTACTGGCTCATGTTCAGCAACAACCTCCAGAGTGTCAATGGAGTACATCACCCAATAAAAAGTATTTCAAAATTTATTTATTTATTTTATTTTATTCATCAATTTTATATACCGCCACTCCCCGAAGGCTCAGAGAAGTTTACAATATACATATGCGATACATTACATTTAAAATCAAAGAAAATTTCAATCAGGAAGATTCAAATGCCAGCCTAAATAAATAGTTTTACAAGCTCTACAAAAAGATAGCAAGTCTCGGAGAGCTCGTGTTTCTGCTGGAAAGGCATTCCACATGTAAGGAGCCACCACCTTGAATGCTGTACGCCAGTAGACATCAGGTGAATGGTCCTAAAGTAGGGAACTTCAAGGAGATTCTGATCGTCTGAACGGAGTGATCTCGGGGGTTGGTAGGGGGTGAGGCGGTCCCTCAGGTACTCTGGCCCCAGGCCATATAAGGCCTTAAAGGTAAGAATCAGCACTTTGAAGGTAATCCGGTGCTCAATCGGCAACCAGTGCAGTTGCTGCAAGATTGGAGTGATATGACACCTTGCTGGAACCCCTGCGAGAAGCTGGGCAGCAGCATTTTGCACTAGTTTAAGTTTCCGGATAACCGATAAAGGCAGGCCTATGTAGAGGGCGTTACAGTAGTCCAGCCTTGAGATGACTGTAGCCTGGATCACCGTGGCCAGGTCGTCCCTGGACAGATAGGGAGCCAGACACCTAGCCTGACACAGATGGAAAAATGCAATTCTGTTCGCAGCGGTGGGCCTGGCCTCCATCGTCAGCAGAGGGTCTAAAAGGATTCCCAGACTCTTCAGCGGAGCTGATCTGTAATGGAGACCAACACAGTCCCCGTCCCATGCCCTTACGGAAGCCGGACTGGAAGGGGTCTAATCCGGCTTTGTCATGTAGGAACTGCTGCAGTTGCTCCACTACCGCCCTCTCAATCACCTTTCCCAGAAACAGAAGATTCGAAACTGGGCGGTTATTGGAGGGAACCGAGCAATTTAGATCCAGTTTCTACAGCAGTGGAGATCCTACGGCCTCTTTCAGAGCCTCTGAAAAAACTCCTTGCTCAAGGGAGCCCATTTATTATGTTCAACAAGGGACCACGTAGTCCCTCTAAGCAAGATTTAATCAGCCAAGAGGGACTCGGGTCAAGAGAGCAAATGGTTGATCAAACTGCAGTCATGATCCTGTCAAAAGCCTCTGCGTCCAGCAGGATAAACCGATCGAGGGTGGGCCCAGTGAGTGGCCACGGAGTCTCAAGCTCACTTACTGTATCAATTGTGGCTGGGAAGGTCCCGGAGGAACAACGAGATCTTGTCTGCAAAATAGCTCTGAAAATCTTCGGCTGAAGGGGCCTGATCATTACTGTTTGGGACGGTAGGAACCGCCGTCAAGGATCTAATAACCTTAAACAATTTGGCCGGGCGTGAGCTGGCAGACGCTATCAAGGAAGCATAGTAAACTTTTTTGGCTTCGGTGGTAGCAACCCTTTGAATAGCTTATAAGCCAATCTCACTGCTTCGTCACGGAGTTCACGCCACATGTCCTCTAGCTGTCTCTTCTCCCGCTTCAGCAACCGCAATTCCTCGGTAAACCAAGGCGATCTCTTCTTGTGGGGTCGGAGAGGGCATCTAGTGCATTGGATAAGTTGTTGTTCCATAAATCCACTTGCAATTCGATCGAGTCGCTGACAGGCTCCAGAACCCTCAGAGCATTCAGGAACCTATCAGGTTCCATAAGTCTCCTCGGGCAAACCCAAACCTATTACATTTCCAACCAATAGCTCAATTAGATCCAATGTGCACCGATGCCTGTTATATATACATTTTTGAGAATTCATAACTGAATACTTTCAGCGGGGCCCTATGCAAAACATATATGGGAATTAGCTACTAGGAATCGTGTCCGCCACGTTTTCAGACATTAAACTCTAAATTGAGTTTAAAGGCCAGTGGAACCATAGATTGCATTTTGGTAGGCAAACAGGCTAGTTTTTAGCCTTACCTTTACATATACGTTTCCAACTAGGTGATCTCCAAGGTTGTCACAGACATTCATCTCTTCTACTTCACCATATTTTTCTTCCATTTCTGTAAAGACTTCCTGAAAACCCCCCACCCAAAAACTCAAAATGTTAATCTGATCCAAAGTGGAAGTATCAGCAATTTGAACACATTTTCGCTGTCCCAGTTTTGGGCTGGCTATCTATGTATCTATCTATCTATCTATCTATCTATCTATCTATGTATCTATGTATCTATGTATCTATGTATCTATCTATCTATCTATCTATCTATCTATCTATCTATCTATCTATCTATCTATCAGACAATAACTTTAATAATTCAAAGTGAAACTTCACTTCTCAAACTGAAATGAAAAACAGAACCCACTGAACTTGAAATCTATGGCATTTTTCTTACAGATTTTGATGTGAGATAGGGTCAATTGACCAGATTTGTATCTAGCCTGTTATGTTTTTCTATAATATTAGTTAAGAATTTTATTAGATGGTCTGATGTGAATCAGAGCCACCAAAACTAAGATAATGTGGACTGAAATGTTTGGAAGCTCATATGAGAATAAACCAGCTAGTCTCAAAGCTGCTCGATTTTTGGCTATCTCTGAAAGTTAATAGAAAAGTATGTTCACTGAAAGTGATTGTAATACTTTATGGTGACATAAAGTATTCTGGGCAAAACAACAGAAATATTGAATATTCTTAAAACTCTCCTGATAGCGTGATAAGCACATTATCATTGAAGAATGGTCCAACTGGTATGAAAACACAGTATACTGTAATACTTCTTATTGCTGAAAAATCTTTCACTTGTATTCTTTAGTTATTTGACTCAATATGTTTTTTTTTTCAAACAAGCATATGGAACCACACATGTCCACTTATGAGAGAATCATGTGGCTTAAATTTGGCCGCCTTTTTACCCATAAGAAAGTTTAGAACTTAACACTTCAGCAGTCATCTCTTGATGCACACACCAACACAAACTTTTCGAAGAATTATTTAGTTTAACATACCTCAAAGAATTCATCATAATGTTCTTGCATTTCAACATCGCTCACAGCACCTGGAAATATCAAGTCATATTAATTAGAATCTATCTTCTAACAATTTAATGGACTTTTGAGCATCTTATAAAATATTTTTAGAGTAATGTCAGGCATTTACTGCAGTAAAAATATGAAACACATTGCTAGTCATTATGAGTAGATCATAAGCAGTTCTGTAAGTCCTTTAAGGGGGAAAAAACCCACAGCAGTCACTTAAAGTTTTAATCCCTAACCCAATGGCATCCTTCCATTGAGAAGCTGGCTTAATCTAAGAAAACAAATTATGGAACACAACCTGTGAGTTCCAAATATTTTGAGTTTTAACGCAGCATGTTTTCATTACCAACTTTTGGAGAATGATTACTAGAATTCAAATCAGGGAAGGAACAAAAGGAAGTATTACAGGAAATATAGCCTAAAATTTCATTTCCTGCTCACAATCAACTGAATGTATTCAACACATTATTAAGCCAACATGTTTTTCATTCCTTCAGTTAGTACAACTAAGTTTACTAATTATTAAAGGCAGATAGAGTCATTTTTTCTCCAAAAGCCAATTTAGTATTTCACATTTTCAGAACAGTTAGAACAAGTCATGCTATATTATTACCATGTCCTCAATATGGTATTTGCAGGGTAATAGTTTACTCCTATTTTAAAGGAGGTAATATGGGCATAAAATCACTGTATGTATGTGGGCAGAAACAAATGGTTCTACACCATTTTAGTACACATTAAGAATAATTTAAACTACATTTGTTTGCATTATCTGATCCTAAATGGTACTACTGAACAAAGCAACTTTAAAGCATAAAACAAACAGATATTTTACAAACAGAATCTGAAGTACTCATCAACTGGAAAACCTATGAAGATTTTTGAAAATCCATTTTCAACACCTTTCAATGACAAGAAATAGCAGAGATCAGCTATGCCCTCTACATTAAAATTAAAGGGACACAGATGAAATGAGATAAAAAATGTTCACAGAAAAGATAATGGCCAAAATCCAATGAGGTGATTCTACTGGCAGAACTGTTTCTTTCAGCAGAATTGGACAGCGGGTGGCCTGTTCTCTACTGCAACCTCCCCTAAATATGAAAGTCTTGCTCTCTAGTCCAGTTTGTTGGGCGCCAAGGTGATGCAGTGTAAAATGATCAGGCACATTGGTGCTGCAGCATAAGCATGTCATTGGATTTAGGCCAATATATCCATAGTGTTTTACCCTGCTGTAAAATGCACTGAGCTCTAAAAAACGCATTAAACTATCCCAAACAATCTGACAAAATATAGTAGAGCTTAATAATTATCTACTTCTAAGAGCAAAGTTGTTGTACATTAAACATACTTTAAAAATATACCATATGTCACTTTGCTAAATTTGATATAATTATTTCCCTGCAAAAGGTAGCATTAAACAAGCTGACGTTAATGATGGTGTTCTGCTAGCTAAATGAGTACACCATTAGACAACTATTACTAGACACAGCTGATATTTCTGTATGACACTGATGGGGAGTAGAATAGTTAAACAATGTATATATTTGCTTGCCAGTTTATAGCAAACCATGCAATAGGTGAAGCAGCAAAAAGCTGTGATCATAAGCATAATTACCCAATTGACAGAAGATATTGAAGATTCATTATTTTAAGAGAAACTTGTTGCTGTAATTATGCTTGTTCAGCTAATAGGTTCTGGACAAAGAAGATTAACATCTCCACAGCAGACCATGCAACATGAATTCATTATCAAATTGGTGGAAATTTTAACACGTGCCCAGGAATGTACATATCACTGCATAAATATCTAACAGTGATAGTGTAAATGTTATAAACAGCAGACTACACTTAACTATAAATTCCCTAAGCATTGCATTGTTTAACTGCATCATGAGCAAATCCCAAATGAGCTTGTTTACCCTTTAAAGTCACTTACATCTACTGATGTACAGTAGACAAGAAGACATCCACATTTCATTACTACACAAGTATTAATGAACTAGTTCAAGACAATCTCCACACTTTCCCATAAATGACTATCAGTTCAGTTTTTAAAACAAGAAATTTTAAGTGTACCTATGCAAAGAGATCAAATTAAAGTGATTTAAACTTCAACAAACAAATGGAAAGACAATTGAGTTAAATTTATATGCTGTTGACCTCATTGCTGGATTAAAAGCAATGTGAACACATCAGAACACATTGAGATGGTGGAGGCCAGTGGCCAGGGTGGGGTAGAGACCAATGGCTCAAGAATGTTTGAAAAAGTGTTCCTTAAAAACATAAAATGGGCAGACATTTAGTTTCTGAGGAAACATAATTGGGGTGGGGGGGGCATGGGGTATGAAAAGGAGCAAAAATTTGTCAGGCAAATTTAATTGTGGTCAATTTGTTCCATTAAACTAAAAATGGTAGACCAGCTTCAGTTGACACTGAGCTCTGACAATCAAGCCCAGGGAACCAGTGAAGGAACTTGTATGAACTTACAGCGCAAACCGTCAGCAGACTGGGAAGAGTTTTGAGGGTTACGGTAAATGTTCAAGAGGGCAATGGTCTGAAATACAAAACGCAACAACTTTATATTACGGAAAATAAGTTTAACAAGAAACTGGTTTCCTTGTGGTGATCACTTTTAGTTGAGTCTCAGTGCTGAAAGAGAGGATGTTATTTTCTCCCACGAGGGAAATCTGCAATTGAACTTGTGACTCACTGAACCATCTAACAGTAAAAAATAGAGATCTCACAACACTTATTATTGCATTTGTTTAAAATGCAACAACTAGTATTTGATCATCAAAGATCTCGAACCTGAATCCATAAAAATATGGAAGTAAAGAAAGGTTAAAAATTGTCAGGAACTAGATTCCACTAAAACAATAATAAGGCTGTCATGAAATCTCTATTGCCTAATACTGTTAACATTAAATAAAACCCAAGCTTCACTTACCGTACATGGCAGACCACCATGATTTCAGATTTTTAAAAAACAAGATATTTGATAAATGCCTAATGCTTAATCTTCCTAGCATGAAAACCAATATCCATGTCTTAGCTGAAAAAGTTCTGAATCAAAAAAATCAAATCAGGCTACCTTTATTAATCGTTGTTCCTTTTTGCACATAGGCATTTAACAAACTCTTGGCTAATATTGTAAGAGTTCCATCACTTGTCCTGTTTGCAACAGCTTTATGTCAGCAGCTCAGAAGCCAACATGATTTTCTCATATTTAGGAATGGGCTCTTTAACACCATTCTTTTAAAAAAATTTCTCCAACTGTGGGACTTACAGTGTGAGCCGTCAGCCGTCTGTGCACTGTTTTGGGGATTACGATAGATGTTTTGAATCAAGATGGTCTGCGGGGAAAAAAAATAAAAAGGGGAATTCTACTGGCTGCTGTGCATATAATAGACAATTGCAAAGAGACAACCTTTTGTGAACAGCTAAATATAAAATGTATCCAAATTGTATGTTATTATTTTGTTTTTGCAATATGTTTTTGAAATATCACTCAAACATTCATATTATGAAGACAGCAATGAATTTCACCAAGAAGTTGCTCTATAAGCTTATTCTCTAGGGAAATGTGGCTAGCCTAAGATTTAAAATGGAAACAGAAAGACATGTGTTCCAATGTTATCTTATTTTATACCTCAAAAAGTACAGAGCCATAAAAATGTTACATGACACCCACAACATGGAGTGTCAATGTATTAAAGGGTCACTTTCACAGGGAATATCTTTTCTCTTATTAAGCATTTTCTTGGTGGAATTTCCATTTCAATAATACGCCTTTCTAAATGTTCACTTTTTGCAGATCTTTAAAGAAAATATCCTTTCGGCCTTTGTGCTTTCTACTTGAAGAATTGCCCAGGCAGACTTGAAACCTTACATTTGTACCGCTCTTCTTAATATCAAGTTGTCTGAAAAAACAAATCATGTTTTAAGTTAGTAATCTAACATCTCAACGTTTAATGTCCATATTAGTGTAAATAGCTCATGTTACTTAATTAAAATGTTAGTTTGTTTTGAGCTGTCATTCAAACTGAATGTAATCTACTGCATTAAAAATGTTTTCAGAGCTTCTTTTTAAAGCTAAAACCGGCTGGTTTCTAGCCACAATAACAGATACAGTTTCAACTTACTGTTATCTAGGCTATTTCACATTCACAATGCTCTTACAACCAACATTCTAAATATTTTTGGTGGCTAGCAAGACCCAGTATGCTAATCTTGAAAACCATACTGTTTAGTACTGCAGCATCTGAAGTGACCATTAAAGGAAAAGATGTATCTTTTGTTTGTTTACAATTCATAATCACAACCAATTAAAGCAAACTACTGCATTTGAGTATATGAGACAGAAGAATCCAAAATAAAGCTACTTCATATTTTCAGACTTTCAGTGGAACTGAGACGTTTTTCCCTTCACCCTTTGATTGCAGCCCTCTGCAAAGCCATTTTAAAAAAAATAAAAATTGAAGGCTTGTAAATATGAAGGGATCCAATTATGAAATAATCGCTATGGCCCAGGAAATGTATACCATTTGATTCTGATATAGCCTGTTAACTAAACTATTTTCAAAGTATTATTTTACATTTTTATAGATATTAATGAGTTGTAAAGGATTGTTATCTTAGTTAAAATGTATGGTACAACCAATTGCTCATAGTGACTTCTACAAAAACCGGAAGGTCCAAGTTAAAATATCTAAAATATAACATGTCCTTAATTTTCCTTTATAATACATTTATAATTCTGTTACTCACAACTACTAACATCAAGACCAAACTCTAAATCACATACAGAAAATTAGTACAGGTTTCAAAACATTTCTGGGCCCAAGTATTTCAGATAAGAGATATTCAACCTGTATTAACAATATAATCAATAATGTAGTGGAAATTATAAATATGTTGTATGTAGTATGTGATGGAATAACAATCATCTAATGTTTTAAAACTTCTGCTCTAAAAAGGGGCATTTTAATTTAGTTAAGTATTTGATTATTATAATTTTCAGTATCCAGAGAAGAACAGGTAGGATACAGAAAAACCTGCATATTAAACAATTTACTATTTAGCAATCTAATACAAAAAAATGCTATGACACATTTGCAGTAGCAAATAAAGCTAATTTGATCATCACATCCAGTTTAAGTAGGAATGTCCTTAACTAGTGTAAGGTCAAAATTAATTAAAATGCTATTATAATGTGATTTAGCAGGTATTAATCAGTGCCTACTGAGTGTCACACATGTGCTAGATTTAACAGATACAAAGTCACCAGGAGGACATATTTTCAAATGCCAGCTTTTGTTGGTATGTAGGAATTTGCATTTCTGCTACTTCATTGAACTGTAAAAGTTCAAACAAATTTTGGTCAAATTTAAAATGCTACATACTTGTTTGTGACTAACAATATTGTGACAAATATCATCCTGAAGGTTACCACTGGCTGACCTCTAACACTAGGAATCTAATGGAACCATTTCCTGTAACCAATGTAAATAAAGAACTCAAAAGGGTTTTATTCGAGGTAGGGGGGAACTCAAAGGCATGTCTATACATATAGATTTATAGACTATGAAGCTCTGAAATTCATAGATGCTGTAAAATTTATGTAAAAGTTCGACCAAGAGAAAAACACAAACCTGGCTAAATGTTGGCTTATTGTGCAACCGAGAACAACGATCTCCATGACGGCATGCTCCAATTTTGAAATAAAAAGAACAGTTCACTCTGAAACAAAAAAATGCAAAATATAACATATCTATACAAAAACCAAAAGGGGGAATAATACAGTAAATAAGGATCATATGCAAAATATTTGGTTACAAGAGTAGAGCTAAGCAAATTAATTGGAAACATGACTGGTGTAAGAAGTGAAGAACATTCTATTCAAGGCTGGGCACATTCTGTACTTTCTACTTTTAATCACATATTCATCAAGTAAATGGCTTTTCTCTTTCTAGTCAAGAACAATATGTTCTACTAATTCTTAAAAAATAACAAATTTCCACCAAGAGAAATCTGAAGACAAAATTAAATACTGTTTGCATTTTACAAAATTTGCTAGAGAGGTATGGAAGCATTTAATAAACTGAAATATTTACCTCACAAAATGTATATTTCAAGTTAAGAAAATATAATACTTTAACATTTCTTTCTAGTTAGTATACCATTCAACAAATAGCTATTTAGAGTATTTATTCAGAAAGTATTTTTAAATACTATTTGAAACACGTTGTCTACGTCCAAAAGTATTTGAAAGAGTTATAAGTATTTCTATCAAAAGTTCATATGTACATTTGTAATACAGGCTGAGTGTCCCTTGGGACCAGAAATGTTTCGGATTTTGGGTTTTGGAATATTTGCATACACATAATCCATTATCTTAAAGATAAAACCCAAGTCTAAAAACAAAACTCATTTATGTTTCATCTATAGCTTCCACACAGACTCCAAAGGTAATATTACACAAAATATTTTTGTCTTTTTGTTCATGAAACAAAGTTTGTGTACACTGAAACACGGGAAAGTAAAGATGCCCCTAATACCCCACGATGTGGACATTTTTAGATTAGTTTGGAATAAGGGATGCTCAACCTGTACAAAGGAGTTCTGTATTTTTTTCATTTAAACTTGAATGCTTCCACACTTCTTTTGCTTGAGAAAAAAGTACTTAATACTTTTATTCATCGGGTAAAATACTGTGGGGTCCTTGCTAATTCCTCAAACCCTAATGGCAGATTTATTTGCACCATGGCCTGTGAGCCTAATCACTGTACATGTGAAAGTAAACACATATGAGAATTAAGGGCCATTTTGTGCTGTAGTGTTTTAAGAGTTGGACGACTCTTGAAATCAGGGATTTAATTTTGGAAATTGTAGTTTGGTGGGGCACCAGCACCAACTCCCAGGATTCCACAAGATTGAGCTATACCAGTTAGTGTTATCAAACTGCATCACTTTCACAGTGTGGGCAAACTTCAGCCTTTAAGGTGTTTTGGACTTCAACTTCCACAATTCCTAATAGCTGATAAGTTGGCTGGGATTTCTGGGAGTTGAGGTAAAAAAAATCTGGGGAGCCAATGTTTGCACATGCCTGGTGTGGAAGCACCCTAAGATAATGGTCATGATGCAGTTAAATGATAAAATGCTTAGGGCATTTGTAGATAAGTGCAGTCTGATATTTATAATATTATTTGCACTATCACTGTTTATAATTATGCAAAAAGAATGTTTTTTTACCACTTGAAGTATGAAGGGTCCTAAAGGCACCAGATCCCAATTGCTAAGAAGGATTGCCCCTCATTAAGACGCCTTAAGGGTTTTCTTAGTATTCCTTGACTGAGAAAGGCCTATGGAATTCACATTTGAAGTATGAAGGCTTTTGTGCTTCCCTGCAAAATTAGGCAAGTCCACAATTCCATGATTCTTCATTAATCTGAATGGAACATTAGATGTCCCTAGCATGACTTGTGGGTATGTACCTTCAAGTCACCTGTAAACATATAGTGACCCCATTTATTTTATAGGGTTTTCTTAGGCAAGGAATACTTAAGAGGTAGTTTTGAAACATAGCCACAGCACCTGGTGTTCATTGGTGGTCTTCCATCCAAGTGCTTACCAGTGCTAACTGTATAGCACCCAAGATCACATGGAATTTCATGCCTTCGGGGCAGGGGTGTCAAATTAATTTCCCATTGAGAGCCACATTGACCTTACTGTTGCCTACAAATAGTAATTGAATTCATGGATGGAGAATTCATGGATACAGAGAAAGGGCCAATTATAAGGGTTTTGTTTTTGTTTTTTGCATAGTGGTCAGTGCTCTTTAGTTTTTACTCAATGTGGGCCCCCAGGTGTTATTGAAGAACAACTCCAATCCTTTTTTATTATCTGGGGATAATGGGAATTGCAACCCAACAGCACCTGCGGCTCCGAGGTTGGGAAAAGATTAAAAGGCATTTTAAAACCAGACATTCTATCTATAAGTTTTGCATCTAAATTCAAACTCTTCTCCCGAGTAAACAAGAATAAATTGTAGCCTTCTAGACCCAGTACTGTATTACAGCTCCCATCAACTTTAGTCATGATGTCTAATGATGGAGTTGATGGAATACAGGAGTTGTCGTCCAACAACTGGATGGCTGCATAAAAGGACATGGAGGACCGTATTTAGTCTGCGGGCCTCAGGTTTGACACATGTGCTTTAAGGCATTTAGGCCAGCCAAACAAGTCTCAAATCAGCATATGTAAAGGGAATGTATTGGATTGGGTGGCTGAGGTGAGGAAGATTTCCTTGGCTTGCTTTCTTGTCAGCCAAGGTATAGTGAATCTATCCTTTTAATGCAAACTAGTAGTTTCCATTTTCTTTTAACCCTAGCATGCCTTTAAAAACCCCTTTTCATGTTTATTGAGCCACCTTAAGTACCTTTACTGTGGCTGAAGGGATAATATGGGTGTGCAACATTTTCATCTAAATAACTTATTAAATAAGTTATTTCTACAGCATCCCAATACAAAGGTTCTCTGGGCAGTGTACATAAAGTCAAAAGAGCTTATAAACAATAGGCTGTGTTTCTTAATTTAATTTTAGTTAAGTTACAATTTGTTTATATATGTTGAGTTGTCAACTTTTGTAATTACATGCTTATTGCTTGTTATACTCGGGGCATTGAATGTATGCCATTTTTGATTGGAATCTGCCCTGAGTCCCTTTGAGGAAATACAGTGGAATACAAATAAAGTGTTTTATTATTATAAATGTTGTTTAAAAATATACAAAACATATTGAAACAGTACTTAACATTTTGGGGAGGAAAATCTCTCATGGTTAAATCCACTAGAAAGACACCACTATGGACTTCTGGGCATTTGTTTTTATGCTAACCATTTGTCACCACCTACTTGGTGGTGACAAATGGTTGCTGCTTTAGAGAATTGGAATTTAGAGAGTTGGCTGCTTTAGAGAAGTGATCTTGGGTTTTAACAAGGTCAGCTTTGCTTAGTACTTTTAATTCTGTTTTTATCTCCCTTTCTGAACCATCTCGGAGGTTAAGATCTGAGGACGTCCTGCTCTTGGTCCCACCTCCTTCGCAGGCGCGACTGGTGGGAACAAGAAACAGGGCCTTCTCAGTGGTGTCTCCTTGTCTGTGGAACTCCCTCCGCAATGAAATTAGATCAGACCCTTCTTTCCTGACCTTCAGAAGAAAAAACTTCAGTCGTGGCTTTGGGGACAAGCTTTTGACAAGTGGAGCAGTGCAGTTAAGTGACTATGAATTAATGTGTTGATAAATAAATTGGTCCTGGATTACATTTTGGATGATGTGATTTTAACTGATATTTTTAATAAGTTATATTTTAATTGTTTGGTTTTAATTGTAATTGTGTATTGATACATGTATGTTTGGCATCAAATTGCTGCCTGTCGTAAGGCCACCTTGAGTCCCTTCGGGTTGAGAAACATGGGATACAAATATAGTAAATAAATGAATATTTACCAAATTAATTGTTTTTTAACTCTTGTATTGCTCCTTTTAAACTTAGTGTGGAGTGTTAGCTGCCTTGAGTCCCCACAGAGAGAAAGTGGGATATAAATAATGATGATAACAATAATAATGTATCTGGACACTGTTCTTATTATTTACACGTCTATGGCCCCTTCTACACTGCCATATCAAATCCAGATTATATGCTTTGAACTGGATTATAGGGCAGTGATCTGTTCAAAGCAGATCATGTGAATTATTTGATTTTATAATCTGGAATATATGGCAGTGTAGAAAGGGCCTATGAAACACGATGTTCTAAACCATATCTGAATGATCAAAGAAGCGGGACAATGGCTTCAAACTACAGGAAAGGAGATTCCACCTGAACATGAGGAAGAACTTCTTGTGAGAGCTGTTCAACAGTGGAACTCTCTGCCCTTGAGTGTGGTAGAGTCTCCTTCTTTTGGCGACTTTTAAATAGAGGCTGGATGGCCATCTGTCAGGTTTGCTTTGAATGTGATTTTCCTGCTTCTTGGCAGCGGTTTGGACTGGATGGCCCATGAGGTCTCTTCCAACTCTATGATTCTATGATCAAGTTACATGTCTGATATGCAGCAACAAATACCATAAACAGGTCAAGAAATTCTTCTGCCAACAAGCATTTGGGGAAGGGGAAAGGCCATTTCTGTGCATTTATTGTATTATGAATTCTGTTTTTACCACACAGTTACTATTTAATTGTTTTTAGCCTTTGTATTGTGCTTTTAAAACTTGTGGTTTGTTAGCTACCTTGAGTCCGCAAGAGGAGAAAGGCGGGGTATAAATAAAGTTAATTTTTTTTGTCGTGGCAGGAGCGACCTGAGAAACTGCAAGCCGCTTCTGGTGTGAGAGAATTGGCTGTCTGCAAGGACTTTGCCCAGGGGACGCCCGGATGATTTGATGTTTTATTATCCTTGTGGGAGGCTTCTCTCATGTCCCCGCATGAGGAGCTGGAGCTGATGAGGGAGCTCATCTGCCTCTCCCCAGATTCAAACCTGCGACCTGTCAGTCTTCAGTACTGCCGGCACAGGGGTTTAACCCACTGCGCCACCGGGGGCTCCAATAAAGTTAATAATAATATGTAATAGTGCACTCCCTAATATAAAATGCCAGAACCAAACTGTGCTTTTTGAAATTTTCAAAAAACATTTTCAAACAGCGATTGGTTGATTCTATGGTTAGGTTACAGATTTCTTGGTTATGTAGGGCCAAATGTTATTCCAGAGAAAGCATTTGGCAAAATAGTCTGGTGCCACTTTAGCTAATTCGACACAGTAGTATGGAATTATGGGAGATGTACGAGGTTTTTAGCCTTCTCTACCAAAGAGTGCTGGTGCCTCACAAAACTACAACTTCCATGATTCTTAAGGGCATTGAGCCATGGCAGTTCAAGTAGTGTCAAAATGCATTAATTTTACAGTGTAGATCAGTTGTGGGCAAACTTGGGCCCTCCAGGTGTTTTGGACTTAAACTCCCTCAATTCTCAACAGCCTCAGGCCCTTTCCTTTCCCCCCTCAGCTACTTAAGCGGCTGAGGGGGAGAAGGAAGAGGCCTGAGGCTATTAGGAATTGTGGGAATTGATATCCAAAACACCCAAAAGGCCCAAGTTTGCCCATACCTGGAACTGGACAAGGCTTGACAATAAGGAGACGCTAATGGTGTTTTTATTGCTGTTGTGGTTTATGTAATTGTAATGTTTTAAATTGTTCTATGATACTGTGTATACTGTTTTGTTGGAAACTGCCTTGAGTCACCGATAGGCTGGGAAAGGCAGTATACAAATACAGTAAATAAATAAATACCTGGTGTAGAGGCACCCTGAGTATTCCTTGCCTAAGTAAATTCCTTGCCCTCTGTCATTTTGTTATTATGTTTAGTTCTTATGTTCTGTGTATATTGTTTTATATGCTTTGATGTTTTATTTTAATGTTATGCTGTTTATTTTATTGCAATTTGTATTGTTATATTGTAATTCTTCTTTGGGCTTGGCCCCATGTAAGCTGCTCCGAGTCCCCATTGGGGAGATGGTGGTGGGGCATAAATAAAGTTTATATTATTATTATTATTATTATTAAACCTGTAAAATTCACGGGTTCGCCATAAATTGACTCGAAGGCACCTACACATACAAGGCTCCAGATCAGACTCTTGAAACTCATTTTGAAACATCACTTAGGCCTGACAGTAATCTGATAGGCCCAGGGTGAGATTTTCCCCGATGAATTCTCAAAGAGGATATTCAGACAGAGAGAATAAGACTATTATGATGATAATTTACCAATAGAGTTGCTTCTTATTCCCTCCCTCACCCAAATTATCCTCCTTATTCTGTCTCATGAAAAGAAACAAGGCCAGAAAGGAGAAGAGGCGGCAAATATTCTCTCTCTCTCTGCCTCTCGTGGGCGCGCGCTCCCACTACACACAGGGTGGGTTGGGGGTGGGGAAAAGGCGCCTCGTAGCCGGAAAAGGCGGCCTCGCGCTCGCCAGCCGTCGCGCGCTTCCCTTCCAGGCTTTGGGGGAGGGGAGGAAAGAGTAAAGCGAGGAGCGCGCGCAGCGGCCTGCTCCAATCAGAAAGGCCACCTCCGGCTCGCGCAAGAGTGAGAGAGAGAGCTGCCGTCAGCAACAACGGAAGAGGAACGTTTCGCGCGCTGGAATCGCGCACGCGCACACACAGAGCCCGAGAAGGAGAAAGAAAAGGACGGGGGGGGGGCGCCTCGTGGGAAACCGCGAGGCCTCCACCCGAGTGGCTGAAGGGCCCTCCCCCACCCCAGGAAATGAGGCGCCGTTCGTGCGAGCCCAGCGGGAAGGGGAAAGCGACCCACTCACTTGTCTTTCTCGGTCCCGAAGATGGAGGCCAGATACTCCGCCATTTCTCAGCGCCCGCCCTGCCCGGCCACCCGCCCGCCGGACCCCTCGGCTCTCTCCTAACACGTCATCCGCGAGCGACGGAAAACGCCCGCCACGCCTCCCAATCCCTGGAACGCTGGGCCAATCGGCGCAGAAAGGAGGGCATCGCAGGGAGAGCCCTCGCGCACGCGCCTGGTGCGGTGGACGCTGCGGCGCATGCGTGAGGGGGCCTCTTCCCAGGCGTCTTCGCACACTGCATTGCTTTTTCTTCCATCTTGTTCGCGCTCTCTGGGTTGTTTGGGGGGGGGAGGGAGGGAGGGGGGGGGGCAAGAAGCAACTTTATAGTCGCCCCGAATCCCAGTTTGAGAGGAAGGCGGGATACAAATGCAATAATCAAATATGTTGGCGAAGGCTTTCATGGCCAGAATCACTTGGGTTGCTGTGAGTTTTCCGGGCCGTATGGCCATGTGCCAGAAGCATTCTCTCCTGACGTTTCGCCCACATCTATGTCACGCATCCTCTGAAGTTGTGAGGTCTGTTGGCAACTAGTCAATTGAGGTTTATATATCTGGAATGTCCAGTGTGGGAGAAAGAACTCTTGCCTGCTTGAGGCAAGGGTGAATGTTGCAATTGGCCAGCTTGATTAGCATTGAATGGCTTTGCAGCTTCGAAGCCTGGCTGCTTTCCTGGGGATCCCTTGTTGGGAAGTGTTAGCTGGCCCTGATTGATTCTTGTCTGAAATTCTCCTGTTTTGAGTGTTGCTCTTTATTTATGGTAAGTGTTCTTACCATACATCAAAGGCACCACTGACCGCATGGGGAAGCTGATGAAGAAACACAACTTACAAACTACCTACAGACCCACTAAGAAAATCCAACAAATGAAAACTATTATTTATTACTTCCTGTATTTCTATCCCGTCACTTCTCAACCTCCGAAAGGGGTACTCAGGACAGCTTACAATGGGCCTCGTTATGAGGCCACTACATAACAATTACAATAATAAATAATACAATTGTCTGGTTGCGGATGACACGATAAATAAATACAATAATAAAACCACAACTGAACATAAAACATAATTAAACAATACATAAGCCATAATTAAAAACAGTAAAACAGTCTCGTCAGCCATATCATCCTTCCAGTCAAGTCACTTCTAAGGTGCTGCTTACATCTATTGTCCAAAAGCCTGATCCCAAAACTATGCCTTTAATTTCTTTTGAAAAGCCAAGAGGGAGGTGGCCAATCTTACCTCAGTTGGGAGTGTGTTCCATAGGTGGTGAACTACCAACGAGAAGGCCCTGTCTCGTCCCCGCCAGGCGCATTTGTGCTGTTGACGGGAGCGAGACCAGGTGGGGTTTAAATATCTGTGGAATGTCCAGAGTGGGAGAAAGAACTCTTGTCTGTTTAAGGCAAGTGTGAATGCTGCAATTGGCCACCTTGATTAGCATTGAATAACCTTGTAGCGCCCAGACAAAGAACATGAAAGGGATATGTTGACAAGCTGGAATGGGTCCAGAGGAGCGTGACTAAAATGATAAGGGTCTGGAGAACAAGCCCTGTGAGAAGCGGCTTAAAGAGCTGGGCATGTTTAGCCTGAAGAAGGGAAGGCTGAGAGGAGACATGATAGCCATGTATAAATATGTGAGATGATGTCATAGGGAGGAGGGAGCAAGCTTGTTTTTCGCTGCCCTGGAGACTAGGATGCAGAACAATGTTCAAGACTTAACTGTGATTTTTATGCGTAAATGAATCATTACATGCTAAATACAACTTCCACCTCACTTCATAAACAATGCTTTTCAGGATCTACAAGAAAGACTACAAGAAAGGAGAATACATCTGAACATTCGGAAGAACTTCCTGACTGTGAGACCTGTTCAGCAGTGGAACTCTCTGCCTCAGAGTGTGGTGGAGACACCTTCTTTGGATACTTTTAAACAGAGGCTGAATGTCCATCTGTCAGGGGTGCTTTGAATGCGATTTTCCTGCTTCTTGACTGGGGGTTGGACTGGATGGCCCATGAGGTCTCTTCCAACTCTATGATTCTATGAAAGGCACTGCAGACTAGTTCAACCTGAGAAGTCAACCATAGCAGAGCACTTGATGAACCAACTTGGACTCAGCATATTATTTACTATTATTTATTATATTATTTGAAAACAGAAATGCTGGACCTTTCTAACAATGACCATGTCAGACTACACAGAGAAGATACTGAAATCCCCAAGCATGTGGACAATTTCAACAGAAAGTAAGAAACCATGAAAACGAACAAAATCTGTCTACCAGTATTAAATAAAACCTTTAAATCAGGACAGTAAAGAAAGAACAACATTCAAAAACGGGAATTCCAGAGAAGCAACAGACAGCTAATCACCTCCCAACAAAGGATCCCTCAATCCTAATCAAGGTGGCCATTTGCAACATTCACACCTGCCTCAACCAGACGAGATCTTTCTCCCTAATACATCCCACAGATATATAAACCCCACTTGCCTAGTTTCCAACAAACTTCACAACCTCTGAGGATGCCTGCCATAGTTGTGGGCGAAATGTCAAGAGAAAATGCTTCTGGAACATGGCCATACAGCCTGGAAAACTCACAGCAACCCAATAATCAAATATATTGTAGAATTTTCTTAGGCAAGAAATATTTAGGTGGTTTTTGCCAGTTCCTTCCTGGAGGAGGGCGGAAGTGTATGTGGCAGCTTTCTGATTGGCTGCCACTTTCACAGGCCACCGTGACCAACACGGGTGACACACCTGGACCAAACTTGGCACACATAACCCCCTATGAACCCCTTTACATCCTGGTGCGGTTTGGGGGAGGATGGACAATGAATGATGGGATTTGTAGTACTTTCCAACCCTTTGGTTCCCACAGACCACTTTGACCCCCAACAAAGACTGATAAAGACCAAACTTGGCACACAGAGCCCCCATGACCCACTCTACATCCTACTGCAGTTTGGAGGAGGGCAGACCATGGATGATGGGACTTGAAGTACCTCCACTCACTTTCCGAGACTGCTGCGACACTCATCCAATGACTGAACAAGACCAAACTTGGCACACATAACCCCCATGACCCCTTTTACATCCTGGTGAGGTTTGGGGGAGGGTGGACAATGGATGATGGGATTTGTAGTACTTCCCAACATTTTGATTCCCAGAGACCACTGCAGCCCCCAACAATAACTGATAAAGACCAAACTTGGCACACAGAGCACCCATGACCCATTCTGCATCCTACTGCAGTTTGGAGGAAGATGGACCATGGATGATGGGACTTGAAGTAACTTCACTCACTTCCCGAGACCGCTGTGAACATCATCCAATGACTGATCAAGACCAAACTTGGCACACAGAGCCCCCATGACCCACTCTACATCCTGGTGTGGTTTGGAAGAATTTGGAGATGGATGATGGGACTTGCAGTAACTTCACTCACCTCCTGAGACCACTGAGACCCTCGTCAATGACTGATCAAAACCAAACTTGGCACACAGAGCCCCCATGACCACTCTACATCCTGGTGCACTTTCGAGGAGGACAGAACATGGATGATGGGACTACAAGTACCTCCATTCACTTCCCAAGACTGCTGCAAACCTCATCTAATGACAGATCAAGACCAAACTTGGCATACAGAGCCCCCATGAGCCACTCTACATCCCAGTGCTGTTTGGAGGAGGACCGATGATGAATGATGGGACTTGCAGTACCTTCACTCACTTCCTGAAACTACAGCGACACTCATCCAAATACCAATAAAGACCAAACTTGGCACAGAGAGCTCCCATGGCCAACTCAACATTCTGGTGAGGTTTGGTGGAGAACAGACTATGGATGATGGGAATTGCAGTACCTTAACTCACTTTCTGAGACCACTGCGACCCTCATTCAATGACTGATCAAGACCAAACTTGGCACACAGAGCCCCCATGACCCACTCTACATCCAGGTGCTGTTTGGAGGAGGATGGACCATGGATGATGGGACTCAAAGTATATCACTCACTTTCTGTGACCGCTGTTAACCTCATCCAATGACTGATCAGAACCAAATTTGGCACATAGACCTCTCATGACCCACTTTGCGCCCTGGTGTGGTTTGGCCGGGGATGGACCATGGATTATGGGACTTGCAGTATCTTCGCTCAATTCCTGACACCACTACAACCCTCATCCAATTACCGAAAAAGACCAAACTTGGCACACTGAGTCTTCATGATGCACTCTACATCCTGCTGCGGTTTGGAGTAAGATGCAAAATGGATGATGGGACTTGCAATACATGCACTCCCTTCCTGAGACCATTACAACTGCCAACAATGATGGATCAGGATCACAATTGACACAGAGAGCTCACATGACCCACTCTACATCCTGGTGCGGTTTGGAAGAATTTGACAATGGATGATGGGACTTGCAGTCACTTCACTCACTTCCTGAGACCACTGAGACCCTCGCCAATGACTGATCAAGACCAAACTTGGCACACAGAGCCCCCATGACCCACTCTACATCCTGGTGCACTTTCGAGGAGGACAGACTATGGATGATGGGACTTCAAGTACCTCTCCTCACTTCCAAGACTTCTGCAACACTCATCTAATGACCAATCAAGACCAAACTTGGCACACAGAGCCCCCATGACCCACTCTACATCCTGGAGCAGTTTGGAGGAGGATGGACCACAGATGATGGGACTCACAGTACCTTCACTAACTCTCTTGGAAAGAAGTGACAAGTGGAGTGCCGCAGGGTTCCGTCCTGGGCCCGGTCCTGTTCAACATCTTTATTAATGACTTAGATGAAGGGCTAGAAGGCAGGATCATCAAGTTTGCAGACGACACCAAATTGGGAGGGATAGCCAATACTCCCGAGGACAGGAGCAGAATTCAAAACGATCTTGACAGATTGGAGAGATGGGCCAAAACTAACAAAATGAAGTTCAACAGTGACAAATGCAAGATACTCCACTTTGGCAGAAAACGAAATGCAAAGATACAGAATGGGGGACAATGCCTGGCTCGAGAGCAGTACGTGTGAAAAAGATCTTGGAGTCCTCGTGGACAACAAGTTAAACATGAGCCAACAATGTGA